TTTTGCGAATTATGGCTCGATGGCTTTCCTTTTTTGCGATGTTTAATTTGGTTATATACCACAAGCCAGACTGTACGAGCACCGTTACCGATGCGTTATCAGGATGTCAGGACTATTATTTAAAGTCCAGGAGCGAAAACATGCACGAGTCGTGTCGACAATGCGAAGATGTTCAGACGATCAGAGTGCAAGCAACGATTATAGTGCGCGAAGAAGTTGTCAAAGGGTACAAGTCTTAGCAGGACATGTTGAGATATTTCAAAAAATACTTCCGACAAAGCACTGCAAGATCTTCCGACTCGCACAAGATCACGTGTTCAACCTTGTGAGTACACAATAGATTGTTGTACTATGCGGCTGTAACGGGGGTACATCAAGAGTTGTTGTTCCAAAAATGAAAATTTGCGTCATCGTCTCTTACATGTGTACCATGACATGTCCATCTGGGACGTGGGAAAACATATCTCATTCTTTCCCGAGATTACTATTAGTCACAGATGCAAAGGTGGGTGCGCAAATATGTTAGGACTTGTGAAATTTGCTAGAGTGAAACCATCGGGTTCACTCAGGGCCACTGCGGTTGTTAGTAGTGCCAGTGACAGCTGGAAGTCTGCGAGTATGTACTTTATAATCGCACCCGCGTGACACACATGGACGCAGCGGCATCCTTGACAGATAAAAAATTCACATTCGTCGAGTCGTCGCCTGTGTCATCACGATCTTTTTCTTTATTGTCGCCGCTGCTAATCACGTCATCACAGTAATATAGCTGACGACGCACACCTCCGATAGAACTGTAATGACAGCCTCAGCTATAACAGCAGTGGACTGCCGTAGCTTTTTGCTTAGAGGAAACTAAGCTAAGGTCACCGACCTTACGTTCTTTCCAAGAACCAGTGCAAGTGTAGCGGATTGCAATCCGCTACTTCTAAGTACTAGAGCCTTAACCGATGCAAACGAATACTTCTGTTCAAAACGGAACCTGTATTTAATTGCTTTGGTTGCGGCAGAGCCGCCAATATCTAAAACTCAAGGTTAAACTAATTAACATAGTAATATCTAATTGATATAGCAAAACCTAATTAGTATAGAAAAAACTAATTACTATAACAAAATATAATCAATATAGTAATATGCGTTACTACTGGCAATGTGGCTTCGTGTTTCGGTGTAGCCACACCACTGTGCTATTACACTCACTGTGTAGAACACACCTGTGTTCACCCACCCTTTCTTACAAAGGCACGCGTAACCCCATTATAATAACTGTAAAATAGCGCTGCTCACAAACATTCTTCTAAGCACAATACACACGCTGATACGACAAGGTTTTGATTTCCAACATGGAGGGAGAAGGACAGTTCCGTCTTGGACAGTAGAAGAACGACTCAACACATTAACGGTAATATTGCAACCGAATTAGAATAAGTTAGTGGTTCCTAGCTACATACAAAACACCTTAAGGGCTCCTAGAAGTTTTACTAATGAATTCGTGGTTCCTGCTTGAAAAATCAAAGGTGTGGTGAGGTTGAACCTCAGCTAAAACTTAAACAAGATCTTAAGTGTACGGAGCTTGAATCTCAAAAAGCTTGGACCTTCAACCTTCATAAAAATTGTCCAGTAGAATGGACTGGCTTGCGCCACCCACTTCGATAGACAGAGACACTTAGGTCTCGTCAACAGTACAGACCCCCAACTGCATTCTGTATTACACAGAATATTTGGAAACACCATACTGCAATCTTCTTTTACAGTTTCCCACTCTATACAGAAGGAACATAGATGTACCTTAATGTAATGGCTAAGCTAAGCCCAGTACATCATCCCATTCTTGAAGTAAAGAGTTGTGCAGGCTTATCGGAGCTGTTCAATTTCCGATCAACAATGAAGCGGGCAAGCAATTAGATATCGTTCTTCACCCAAATGGCAAGAAACAGATCCAGAATTCAATGACGTTTTTTCTATTTTCAACCAAAATGGAAACAAGAGACTCTACATGTAACGTTTTTTTTGTTGGCTTCGAATCAATAGTCGTGACGACCCAACGTTGCTCATCACAACTAAGCTTGACTTTTGGCGGACATAGATTCTCGCCACGAGAGCTAGAACAAGACGTAGCATCGCTTCGCTGATTCGGCGCCGGCAGGACTCCCTGTCATAACCGAGCACAACCAAGCATCGGTCGTTGTAGTGTTGCCTCTAACAATACACAAGCAATTCACGCAGCTGCGGACCACGTTGGGGATATTAGATTTTAACGCCTGACGAGGTTCCACGTGTCTGAGACCGATGGATAGTTGTGCCACCGAAGTGTTGATGGTTCAACTGCTTCTTTCCACGATAGCGAGTTGGTCGATTCTCGTGATCGAAAATCGTCTCAACCACCCAAACACGTTCTCCACGAGAGTCTGTTCGCGGAGGTGAGGTTGAACATGAAAATGATTGAGCTACTGTGGAAGTGGAAGAGCGCCTGTTGCAGGCAAATTAAACATTTCAGAAGCACCGGTCGACGCTTAAAGATCACTGTGAGAGCCTTTCGAACCTTGTTGCAGAGCAGAATGCAAAACTCGACGCTCCTGCTGATGGTATCGCCAAATGTTTGGCTTTAAAGTCCCGTAATGAAGTACGATCTGTCAGGCTCATGATGACTTGTTCGACTTCGGAAGCACGAAACGTTCCGTGAGATGGCTAACGATCACCTGTTGTGCTCTTTGAAGAAGCAGGTTCTGTTCAAGAGCAACTTCGCGGTGAGTGCCATTCTCGCCTTCAAGCGTTAAGATTGGTATAGGGACAGTTTATAATGTCCCTTGACACTTGTTTGTCGTGAAGAATCTTCAAGATGAAGTGCTGGTTGCTCTTCATCAACAGCTGAAGAAACGTCAGGATTAGCTCGATCATCTACCACAGGTATAGTAGGATCGGCAGATCCACTCGGAAGATACGACTTTAGCCTACCCACATAAGATGCAGGATGTAGACGCATAGGTGTAGAGATGGCTAATGAATATGCCTCACCATTGCATTTCGTCACCTTGATTGGTGCGATGAATCTTGGCAAAAGCTCACTGCTTCTCAAGTTGAACACCGCATGTTCAGGCAGATTTATCGTGCAAAGTAGTACGATATCATTTACCTCATATACCTTCTTTTCTTCCTTCCGCTCTCATCTGCTTGTTTCTTTTGCAGATTCTGAGCTTTTGCAGTTGCGTCTCAAACAAACAGAACAACGGCTTGTCTCTTCGCAATAAGGTTATCGACATGCTGATCCTCACGACTTGTGATGTCGTCTAGAGGTCTCATTTAAATAAAACTCGCTTTCAACTATGTCACAATTTGAGGTCTGGCTGTGGCTCTATAGCCATAGCCACCCCCTGGAGACCTCGCCAATTATAGAAGCAGGCACTTTAGGAGGAATACCATAGTATATCATAAAAAGGTATGACCTGTCGAGACATGCGTGGAGATGTTAAACGCAAACTCTGCAAGAGGGAGAAATTCACTCCACTTTTTTAATAACGTAGCGTGACTACGCAGTACGTCCTCCCAAACTCGATTCACACTCTCTGTTTGACCGTCCGTTGTAGGGTTTGCCGCATTTGACATGGACAATTAGTCCGAGCAGCGCATGTTTAAATTTCAACGTGTAACGAATGTCACGGTCAGACACGGTGTCAACAGGAAGGCTAAGCAGACGGAAAACAACGTCAATAATGATTGTAGCTGTATTCTTAGCGGAGATCATATCCGAAATAGGCGCAAGATGAACCATCTTGCTGAATCGGTTCGCTAACAATCAGCTATTTCTCCAGTTGTCTCATATCGGACCGACATTTCTACAAATATTACGATAGTGCACGCTAAAAGCGATTGGCTCTGTAGATAGAGGCGATGTGACCAGTAGAGCGTATTCGATAGTCAGGCTAGTAATTGCATCGACAACTAATGGTCGGTCGTGAATGGTATTGAAATTCGCGTTTCGTGAACTCATAATTCCAATTCGACCGGCTGCTTCGCTAGGACGGCAACGCGAAGCTTAAGAAAACTCTGGACCCATTCTTGCTGTGAGCTTATCTTTCTAGCGCTCGTAGCGCAATGCAGGATTGTTTAGTACAATCGTTGTCAGCAAAGACAACCCACATGCCAGCCAGATGGCTCTAAAAATCTCGGTACTAATGCGCAAAGTGCACAATTTGGGTTGAGTATTACCAAGACGCGGGTACGGATTTGCTTTACCACGCCTAATTTCTTGGTTGGGTGAGTGTCAAATGCAGCGTTTTGGGGCAATGATAGGAGCGCAATGTGCTAGCATGTGGCCAAATACATACGTTCGATGTTTCAATCAAGAACTTGATATGCAGCTCACTGACTAGCATGCTGGCAACGATGTTTATATAGTTTATGATCGAGTGACTTCCAGGTCTCAATTTAATTCGTTTTTTTGTAAAGCCCAGATCTTTCCAAAATAGACACGAAAAAATTGACAACGAATCAAGTTGATTCGCTTTGTTGCGTTGCCATATTCCAATCAATGGACAGGCCGAAACGGAGTCCGGCTTGGTGGTAGACAATTGTTTAGATGTAAACTCGCGATGATACCATGGATATAGACAGGCAAACGCCAGAAAAACTCTGAAGTTAGCCATACACTCCTTGTATTTTTACAGCTTTCATTCTTATTGATTTCCAAACAATACAGCGGTCATTATCACCATGATGACATATTAATCAGGTGCATCCAGGAACAAAGAAATCAGTCACATTCCCTTATTCTATCTCTTTGAAGTCACCTTTGACAGCTCTATATCTGCTACGCTTAAACCATCTTGAATCTACATGCCTTGAAATGGTAATTTCGGATAGTATTGCTGCTTGCTTTTCAATATTTGTTAAATGCTTAAAAAAATCGTCTGATATATTACACGTGGGTTCAAATGTGGTGGGTCAATGGGGTATTTCGATATTACCCCAAAGCATCATTGGGTGGTCAGATAGAAAACATCATGCACGGAGACTCCGCGCGCAAGTCACGTCGCTCTGACGGGTTCTCCCGTCGTCGCCGACGCCCAAATGATGACGATAAATCCCACCATTCTCAAGATGAATCCGACATTGAAGTTATTCCCGACTTTCGTTCAAAACAGAAAAAAGAGGCCGCGCAAGACGACACCGATCTGTCGCCTAGTGAGCGCGAACGACTTCGTGATCGTGAAGAACGTGATGCCTTTGCTGAGCGCTTGCGACAGCGCGACGAAGCGCGTACCAAGAATAAGCGCAAGGCTGAGGAAATGGACGACCACAGAGGACTTACAAGCGACGAAATTAAGCAGCTCGCTAAGCGTGGGACACTTGACGCTGCACAGAATGAAAAGGTGAAACAACTTAGAAATTTGAGCCGACAAGAATATCTCAAAAAGAGAGAAGAAAAAGAACTTGAGCTGCTTGAATTTCAATTAAAAGATGAAGACGTGTTGTTTGAAGAGTCTAGAAGGTCTAAAAAGGAGCAGCAGCAACTCGAGCTCAATAAGCGAATATTAGAGACAGCTAAGGCCAGATCTCAGAAAGAGGAGGTTGACGGGTATCAAATACCTGATTCATATGAAGAGGTTGATGACGAGGGCAATCGAATAAGAAAGAAAGAAGACTTACTGACGGACAGATACGAGGAGGAGGAAGTGCTTCATACCGAGCAGGAGATCTGGGAGGACACACAAGTTAAAATGGCTTCAAGTCGATTTGGAGCCAAAGATAAGCGCAAGGAGATACAAAAAGAAGACGAACTTATTTTTGATGATCAAATCGAGTTCATTTCGCAGCAAATGCTATCCGGACATCATGTGAGCGATGAAAATGTAAAAGAAGCGAGGAAAAAAATGGAGCAGGCCAGGCATCTGAGTATTCAGGAAGGAAGGAAGCAACTACCGGTGTTTCCGTACCGAGAATCTCTCCTTGAAGCAATTCGCAATTACCCGGTTATTATCATTGAAGGTGAGACAGGATCAGGAAAAACAACTCAGATCCCTCAGTATCTTCATGAGGTTGGGTACTCGAAGCTTGGCATTATTGGCTGTACGCAACCGCGACGTGTTGCTGCAATGAGCGTGGCAGCGCGTGTGGCGCAGGAGATGGATGTGAAACTGGGGAATGAAGTGGGATATTCAATTCGTTTCGAAGACTGCACTAGCGACAAGACTGTAATCAAGTACATGACCGATGGTATGCTTTTACGTGAGTTTCTGACTGAGCCCGATCTCAAATCCTACAGTGTCATGATAATTGATGAGGCCCATGAACGTACACTGAGTACCGACATTTTGTTTGGCTTGATTAAAGATATTGCTCGGTTTCGAGATGATATTAAGATCATTGTGGCGAGTGCGACACTGGATGCAACTAAGTTTAGTGCGTACTTTGACGATGCTCCCATCTTCAAAATTCCTGGACGTATGTTTCCAGTAGATATTTTGTACACGAAAGCCCCTGAAGCGGACTACTTGGATGCTGCTATTGTGACGGTGTTACAGATTCACATTACTCAACCACTTGGAGACATTCTCGTATTTCTTACGGGCCAAGAGGAGATTGAATCCGCAGAAGAAATTCTGCTTCAGCGAACTCGCGGTCTCGGCTCTCGAATTCGCGAGCTACTTATTCGGCCAATCTACGCAACTCTGCCTTCAGAACGCCAGGCTCAGGTATTTGAGCCAACGCCAGAGGGAGCTCGTAAGGTGGTCCTGAGTACAAACATTGCAGAGACGTCACTGACCATTGCTGGTATTTGTTATGTGATCGATACGGGCTTTTGTAAGCAGACAAACTACAACGCACAGACCGGCATGGAGTCGCTACTGGTCGCACCAGTCTCCCAAGCCATGGCCAATCAACGCGCTGGTCGAGCAGGACGTACAGCTCCGGGCAAGTGCTTTCGCCTGTACACTGCCTGGTCATACAAGAACGAATTAGACGAGAATACTGTACCTGAAATTCAACGCACAAATCTTGCCAGTGTCGTTTTACTCATGAAATCTCTAGGAATCAATGACTTGCTTCATTTCGACTTTATGGATCCTCCACCCGAGAAGGCGCTGATTCGCTCGCTTGAACAGCTTTACGCACTTGGTGCACTTAATGGCATGGGTGAATTGACAAAGTTGGGACGTCGCATGGCTGAATTTCCGCTTGATCCCATGATGTCCAAGGCACTGCTTGCTTCAGAAAAGTTTGGCTGTGTTGAAGAAGTCATGACAATCTGCGCCATGTTGAGTGTAAACAACTCAATATTTTACCGACCAAAAGACAAGGCAGTTCATGCTGATAACGCTCGGCTGAATTTTGCGCGCGGTGGTGGAGGAGATCACATCACGCTAATGAATGTTTACAATCAATGGGTAGAGACAAACTATTCGACTCAATGGACATATGAAAATTTCGTGATTATGCGTTCACTAAAAACTGCTCGCGATGTTCGGGAACAACTTGAAGCTCTTTGTGATCGCGTCGAGCTTGAACGCACAAGTAATCGCAGTGACCACGAACCGCTCCGAAAGGCAATTTGCGCCGGTTACTTTTACAATACAGCCAAGTTGGACAACTCGGGCCACTACAAGACCGTAAAGAAAGCACAGTCAGTGCACATACATCCAAGTTCGTGCCTCATTAAGCTTGAAGAAGTCCCGCGTTGGGTTATTTACCATGAATTGGCGTTTACGACTAAAGAGTACATGCGTAATGTCATTCCAATCAAATCAGAGTGGTTGATGGAGCTTGCACCTCACTACTACAAGTCAAAAGAGGTTGAGGATGCTCGCTCAAAGAAAATGCCAAAAGGTGTCGGTAGAGCAGGCTGATTGTTGCAGTATAAAAGTTGCCGTTGCTTGTCGTTTGGCAGAGAGCTGGAAAATCATTTATCTCACTTGGAAGAACATGCTTGCAATACACCTATTGACGCCGTGTAAAGTGTACAAACAACATTAATAATAGAAACTTTTGATCAAATCTATATTGGCGCTCCATGACAAAGTCTCAGTCCAAAAGTCGCATCTTCCAACGCAGCATTCTCGACATTGATACTTCCTACTCGATTGCGAATGTATTAAGAAACGAGGAATTAAGTCTTGCTGCAATAGGTGAGAGCATCTGATATGATGCTTTTGCTTGCAACTAGAAAAGTATTCACGAAAGTATAAATAAACAATTTGTCCTAATAGAATATTTGATGGTTTGGAGATATTTTTGTTATTGTTTGTCCAGAATTTTCTAAACGAACTTAAACTCTTTTATCACATTTACAATTTGGTCATTAGCAAAATTTCCGCTCTCACCTGAAAACTTACGATAGGCAGTTCACCGAGAAGAAGGCAATAACTACGCCCCGCAGGAGTCACCATCTCCGTGACTTACCTTCAGTGGAGAGCATTGCAACTCCTACCGTGGAGTTCACGACTCATCATTAAATGTCTGGCCCTAGCTGAAGTGCCCAGGTTGCTCGTATGCAAGCGCTAGATCGCGCCAACTTGTGCCAGTTTCATCTCTTTGACTTACTGAGGGAGGCTTTTACCCACCTTGGCATATCGTGAGCAAGACGAGCGCCTAAAATTGTTTTACAAGTCCATCCTCACCACCGGTCATCTCTCCTCATGACTACTGCCAGCGCTTAGAGCAGCCGTGATCAGGAAAAAACCTTCGTCTCATGAGACTGAAAAGTGTCAAGAATGCTGACTAAATTCATACTCAATTTACGCTCGAAAAAAAACTAATAGTCTTACCCGATTTACCCGTCTCTGAAAGTACAAGCCAGATTTAGTGAAGCGTCCAAACAGTGTAAATTGATCCTTCACTTTGCGAAGTACAAACCAACAACACGGACTTCGAGATGAAATTTCATCACGTCTTATTCTTGCAACTAAAGTTTTGCTTAGCTCTCTAAAACCGAAGATACACACACGGAACACGTATGAAGCACACGACAACATCGACATTTACTCCCTTCTTGAACGCACTGTGACGGTGACCTTGGCAATTTCCCAATGGAGATTGGCGTACATGGCGCACCAGGTTTAATCGGCAATGGCGTCAGGTAAATTTTGCCAAAGTGAAATCTCAACTGCTCGCAGACACTTGTTGCGCACAGCGGAGTATGAGTAGAAAGTAAGCTACAAGATCTGTCAGCTTACTCAATATGACAACGTTGTTCGTTGTTTAAAAACAACATGTAACAATTATTTCGTGCTCCAAAACGATCAAGGTGACAAGGTGCTTTGAAGCCGCTTAACTATGCAAGTTGCCTGTGTGCGATGCAATAAAAACTGTGATGAGACATCAGCGCACCTCAACACCCATCCCCAACCTGCACGTCGTCAAATCCGGTTTTCTGATCTGTCAGCGACATGCGCTGCGTCGGCAAAGCATTTGTAACGAAGTCGGTGAATTTATTCTATGTTAGTACATACACCAGTTAAATGGTTCTGCACATACTAAGCGTTTAATGCTCCTTGCGCGACTTTTGATCAGTAGTCATCGGGCCATTGGCCTTAAACTATTTTGAAACGAAAGGTAACGTAGCCAACTGACATTTTGTGCCACCAGAGCAAGTGCTATGCATTTAATCTAGCAGAGAAAATAGCGGTGATGGTGTGTCGCTTGCATTTAAATACCATTGCCTCCTCTGATGACAGCAAAACTCTCGGTATTGAACGACGCATAAGCTTGTGACCGCTTTTTGCGCCACCATAAGCTTTGATACTCGATCGATCACTTGCTCTCGTGCAGATTTGCAATTTTGGTGATTGCAGAAGTAAATTATTGTATGTATTCCCGGTAACTTGCCCAAGTGGTCTTGGGGGTGGATTTAAGATCCGCTAGACATGCCAGTCTGTGTAGGTTTGAATCCCACAGATACGATACCAACGCAGCGTTGTCTTCGATGTAATGGTGTCATCAGAAGTGGTATACAATTATGAATATATGCTCCTTCGAGATAGCACAGAACACGTATTTCAGCCCTCTGATTCATTCACGTAGCAGATTCAGGTATATTGATAGTTCGCAGAATGCGCGACGTTTTGGCTTGGTAGCATTGGCGACGTATAGCAGAAAAGCAATCCATTTCGAGTAGCAGCGAACATTTGACACAAGGTCTTAACTTGTTGTGTCGGGGTTGAGACAGCATTTTCACTATTTGGCTCTATGTTTGTGAACTTGAAGGCGGTCTGGCTTGCTCCAAACATTCGAAATAATTTGAGCTGCCATAAGAACTGGTTATGATATCTGGGGTAGACCCTGGGTCTTCAAGCGATGTGACGCGTGGAGACAGGACAGACTGCAACGAAGGGGCAATTTTTAAAAAGCGTAGATCAGCATTCTAGGTATCCATGATAAAATGAGGAGGTAACAAAAGCGGCAGGTGATGATAAAATGAGGAGTTATCAAAAGCGGCAGGTGAAGAAGACAAGTTCTCCCAAAAATCAATTTATGTACAGTGCTGGCAGTGATAATAAGACCACCGTCTCTTTTGAATCCTGTGCGCAAATTCTCGCTTTTTAGCCCATTATTCACCAATGGATCAAGACGCATCAACTGATGCATCCCAATTGAACATCCAATGCGCAGAAACTGACATACCATCAAATCACACAACTTCCTACCGGCACTTAAAAGATCAGATTCGATAAATTGGTAATATGATATCGCAATACAATGGACTACGTTGGTAATACATCTGGGAATATCCAACACAAATTATCAATCGAATTAAGATGTAGAGACCTGATGGGCCAGCACTTCGCAAAAATTTGCTACACAACGACGCCACTGAGGTATGGGAAATGTGTATGGATGCATTATATATTCCAGCGGCATGGTTTGCAGCAATACATGAGATTGAAAGTTTCTGAAAAGTCGTTGTGTGCTCGGCGCTGTTTTTACGCTCCTTTCAAATCGCAAGTTTGACTTTTCCGCAAGAAAAACGTTCAAACATCGCTGACTCGCCGCTGTTTTGCTGTTGCGAATATTTCGCAGAATTGGAAGCCAATAGGCTTAACCTTGTCTCACAAAAAGCGCATCTAGCGTCATTGTGCATGCCGTGTCTGTTGTTGTTGAGCCCAGATAAGGCACGCCAATTTGTGAAATTGCTATGTGCTGGCATCTTTATGCGCTTTATAAACTTTAGCGTGAGACATGCAGCCAGGAGAAGGCGAACACGTTGAACACCTATCGGTAAGGTCAGCTCATTTGCCAGCTGAGTATAGCTAAGCTTGCCTGTACGCGTATCTCTTAAAAGACATTGAGACCCGTTCGGCGTCAACTTGAGCTGCCTTTTCGTGCTTGTGATGGTCCCAAATTTCGCTGAGCACTGGAAGTAGTTGTGCACGGTGGTCTAAGACCGTCCAAGCGTCGTCGTGATGACCATCTTCGACTCTCTGTCGGCCGAAAGTTACGAAATCTTTGCACTCATAGGCAGTGAGCTTGGGAACTCTGCATTGTAACATCCTGACAAAATAGATCCACAAGATGCTTGAGCTTCGAGAAGCTTGAATTCAGCATTCGTGGAAAGTCTCCATAAGAAAGAACCGACTTGCGCAACCCACTTCGAGAGACAGAGAATCGTCGATCTCGTCACCATTACAGATCCCCAAGTAGGGAGCAGCATTCTGTATCACACAGAGTATTTGTGACTTCAAACAGAAGATGTCACGTATGCATTTGGAAACACCACACTGTGATCTTCTCTATAAATTCCCACAATGCATACAGAAGGTACAGTATCTTTTGATGGATGTACCGTCATGTAATGGCTACGTAGAGCCCATTACATTTGAGTGGTAGGAAATCTGAGGTTCTCGTTGGCAAAAATGTTAAAAAGTGGTTTTTATTATTACTTGCAGCAGTAGTCGGTTAATTGCGAATTCCGTATTCATCACTATCCCTATGACCACAGCGGAGATTTTCGGTTCATACACATTTGTTTATCTCATGCGAGCTGTTACAATACGATTTACAATATCTCGACTAGGAATTTACGCAATATGCGCTCTTGGAAGCTCAAAAGTTTGCATTCGTAGCTTTATGTTGGTCCTGTGCTTTGCGCTGGATTCGCGATCGATCATCTTTATGATGGTAAAAGTAATTGAAGTTTAGATGTGTCAAGATAAATTCCACATGCTTAGATGCTCCGTGCTTCTGCATGGCGGTCAACATAACCACAAGAAAATGTGACTGGCGCTTATAATTCTTTGCACTCTGAGTCATTTCAGATCGAAGAATGCAAAAGTCAGGGTGCTCTAACAACGGGACACTCGACACCTTATCGCGATTCGTCTCAAATGACATGCTGGGAAAATACTGATGCAGGTTTCGGTCTACTGCGCCAGCAAACTTTTCAACGTGGCCCACAAAACACAGAATATTGTTGAATGTTGTCACGATGTACTGAACTACGGTCGCATGCTAAGAAAAGTAAAAAAAGCATCAGATTATATGTGAAATGGACACAACAGCAACCTTATACCTTCTCAAGAAGAAAAAAGCGATTTAACAGGTGATCGAGATACTTTTCATGAATGGCATCCATCTTAAATATAAAAAACGAAGACGTCAGCACACAAAATCGTTACCATACATAAGCAAGGCATGATCCATTGTACCTCAGCTAGACTTTGCGAGGCTTGCAGCTCATCGCGACATTTGGACCATCTTTCACTCGATATCTGTCAGGTTCAGTGTTAAAGACAGAAAAACACGCTTATGGGTCACAACCTATATCTTACCTGACTTAAAAGATAATTTAGCAAAGTCTTCGTATAGTGAAGCATATCAGCAATTTGAAGCAGGGCTTGCCGCAACTCGTTTT